TTTTCGTTTTTAATTAGTTAAGTTATTTTATTGTAGAAATGCTCTAATAAACTTACGTAACAGGATTACCAAAAACATATATGTGCACATTTAGGAAAACAAATAGTATTTTTAGACCTAACAGTGTTATACATACACAACATAACATTAGTTAAATACTAAAGGAGTTTAATAGATTAGTCACCTCCATGCAGTCGACCAATTCTCTAATAGTTTTAACTTCTACAGTTTCAGTAGCCAACTCATCAGAAACAGAATAACTACGCTGAAAAGGTATTTGACTGATCCTGGCAGAGTTAGCTTCATTCACTCTTGCCAATCTGTATATACGCAAGGTTGTATTAGTTTTAACCATAAACAATTATGTGTGCAGTATCTACATAAAATTAATTTTTGAAATAACTAACCTCGACTTAAAATCAACAGCTTGAGGAAGATCCGGGTAATACAGAGCTTTGAGGCATGCCAAGTATTACGCACATGATATTTGCCTATATATAACTTTAGTTTCTGAACCAAAAAAATTAACATAAAAAAATTATCCCATGTCATCAACACAATAGAAATACCTTGAAATTTGTGTGCTTTTATCAACTGCATAACAACTATGACCCTCCGATGGGGTGATCCCTCTAAATGTGGCAAGATTTAGTCAACGAATTCTCCCCAAAATGTTGCCGGGATACTATTCCTCCTGTGAAATTTATATAACAACTTAAGCAGACAACGATAAGTAATCATGTTAATATATAACAAAGTAAATTCATAGACGCAATCTTACTCATAATCTTCAAGTTCCACATTCATATAAGTGCTGGTTTTATCACCTTGGTTATGGGATTCTACTTCACCATAACTTACAACCTCTCCAATGACATCTATAATAATCTAAAAAAATGATCAGGAGAAAGTTGATAAGACATTCAAATAAAAGAACTGTGAATTGAATACTTACCGAAAAGTTCACTTTCTTCAACATCAATTTTGTTTATCAAATACTCATAAGGTTTTAAGTCGAAGATACTCATACCAAAAAGATGATCATTTGCTTCCTCTACAATCGTCTTATGAGTAAATGCCAACTTCAATTTATGCCGCGTTTATTTAAGTTTCGTATAATTTGGTCCAACCACAAAGTTCTTCATAAAGTACAAACCCAATTCTTTTATCTTTGGTTTGAACATACGTATAAGAGACCGACCAACAGTCGCATGAATACGATCGCCCTAGAAACAAAAAATTCATAATTAATATTGAGTCAGACAAAAAATTCATAATTAAATACACGCGTAACCTAATGAATTTAATAGTGCAAAGCAGAAGATGGAGATTGTAGTCAAATTACGGGAAAAAATAAATGCAACTAAAAAAGAATACACCTTTTCGTCTTGAATAATTAATTCAAGGGAGACAGTGTTGTCTGGTTTGTCGCGATCTGGAACGTGCCACAATCTCACTATTCGTACCTTCAAATTCCAACTCATCTTGTTACTCGATATATTGTTGATACAGTCAAACATCGTCATATTTGTTCTTAGAGAAAATTTGATATGAGGATTGTCTGTAGTAAAGTATATGGTCGGTGCAGCTCTATATATATATATATATATAGATAGATAGATATATATATATATATAGATAGATATATATAAATGACCTGATTCTGTATATGCTTTTGACATCGTCCCTGATTCTGTATATAACTTAAATATTGGAATAATCTTTTTACTTGCTATAAATAAGAAATTTCCAAAAAAAGAGCTGTAAAATAGTTTGCTGACCGAAAAATGTTCTTATGAAATTTAGGGTTTATATCTTATATTTACAAATCTTATGTAGTTTATATAAAAAAAAGTTCTTATGAAACTACAATAGTCTACATTTAGGGTTTATATCTAAAATTCCAAAATTAAGGAGGAATGTCATCTGCACGAACATACTTCGATTGTGAATCCTTTCCATGTAGAAATCCCTAAATTTCAGTTAATAAAGATTCAGATCTGAGGAAGTGTTACTTGCTTAAAGGATTTTGTAAACATTACAGAGGCACTAATTGTTGATGAGTATCTTCTCATCTTGAAATCATACGGGAAGTAATCTTGAGAATTGGGAATGTTTTTAGGAAGACAAAGAGATTAGATGGTAAATATGGTATGAAACCCGTTTTTTTTAGGAAGGCAGAGATATACGATTTTTTTTTTTTACTTTTGTAATATTTTTTGATTATTAAATAATAGTAGATGAAACAAAACAGAGACACTAATTTTGGGAGGATTGACTGTTTTTATTGCCGAAAATCAAGCAATAAATTTGGGAGGGCTGATTGTTTGTAGACCGAAAAAATCTGGCAATTACAACTGGGATTTTTAATAAATTAAGTTGCCATGTGTCATTTTGATATGTTGCCAATTGGCATTCTAATAATTTGCCACTTGGCTAAATGAGAAGGCAAACTTCTTTGCTTTAATATAGATATATATAGATTCAAGTTAAGTTTTGCTTTTCCTCTTTGCCCCCATTGTTCTCTCTTTCCATTTTCTTTTATTTGTGCAAGTTAAGTTTTGTTTTTCTTCTTTGCCCTAGTTGTTCCCTCTTTCGGTTTTCTTTTCTTTTTCTTAATTTCATTTGTTTCAATTTTGTATTTTCACTCTACATACAATTATTTATTTAAATTATAAAAATATATTTGCTTATGTTTTTTTCTAGATATCAAAATATTTGTTTGAATATGCTTTTGATATCATTTTTTTCGTTTTTATCTAGTTAATGTTATTATTATTTTTTGATTTCAAATCAAGAATCAAATATTTTTAGTCTGATTATCACGTGTTTATTTATGCACCAAAAGAATCTTGTATAGTGAACCCAATTAATTCAAAACAAAGCGAATCGACTAGATACACACCTTAATTCAACATTCTTGTCTACTGGTAAGTTCACATTAAATACACAGGCACCCGTAGGCCGTAACCATCTGATCCTGAATCCGCCTCTGAGATCAACGGTTCAAGCCCAAGACAAGTATTTTATTTGTACATCAATTATCAAAAAGTTTAAAACTCAAAACATAGCTATAGATCTTCGAACCCTTGACATAACCTAGAAAATTAGGACGCTTGACAAAACAAGCTACCTAAGAGAGTATGTCAAGAGGCGTCACTTCAACCAAATTATACGTTTTTAGGTTCTGCATTTTAATTATATACAAGTATTTAATAAAATTTTCCGATGATGTGACACCGCTTCGACCAAGGTAAATCCGATGGGATACGCTAATATGTCAATAATATGGGAAAGATAAATATCAGGTTTGCATGGACATTAGTGTGTACATAGTTAGAAAATTGCCGTAATTACTAAACTGTGAATGCAATTACAATGTAATTCTAGGAGTGATATTTCCTCGTATAAGTAATAATTATATAGTTAGATATTTTCTAATTAGAAAATAAGTATTCATTATCAAAAAATTGATGAAGCATTTTTTCTATGTATAAGCAAATAAGCTTTTATGGGTGACAAATATGTATTTAAGAAATATTAAATGTTCCCTCCATCTCAATGAGTTAAACGAGTTTTTCTTTAATCGTGATTTTATATACCTTTTAAATATTTTGAATAGTTAATTATTGTGACCTATTATATTTTTTACGTAGTTTTCAAATATATACATTTTGAAAAATAACTTAAAAATTTTATATTTCAATTCACGATCAAATCTAAGAAGTTTAATTCTCGAAATCTCTTTTATGACCGTGAGAGTATTAGTTGTTGCTCAATTCCTTGAGTGTGACTTTCTCTCTCTTCCACCACATATTTCTTGGGAGCCAGTAGGACAATGACAGTTAGGGCTGTGCATAATTTGGTAAATACCGAATTAGCGTATCGAAATCGTAAATTTTTAGTATTTGGTATTCGATATTTTGGTATTCGGTATGGTATTTGGTTTAAGTCTTAAAAAATATTAGTATTAGGTATGGTATTTGGTATTTTAAAATGAAATACCGATACCGTATCGAAATATATATTATATTACACAATACACATATTATTAGTTATAACATAAATATAAAAATATAAAATTTTACTTTCCTTTATTCTCTAAGTTCATCAATTAACTCTAAAAGTAAGTAACAAGACATTTCTAATGATCAAATTTATTCTTTTATGTATAGTTTTCTCTCTCTAAGTTGATATTTGCTAGTTTTGGACAAAACTTTTGTCAACAAATATTTTTAGTTTTGTACTTTTGAGTACTTTAATTTAGAATATTACATTCTACGACTCTATGCACTAGTTAGTATTCAAACCGAATAAACCGAAGTTACCAAACCGAATAAACCGAAGTTACCAAACCGAATAAACCGAAACCGAAAGGAGAAAAACCGAACCATATCGAATTTAATTAGATACGGTATTGGTATTGCAATTTAAGAAACCGAATACCGAAAATACCGAACCGAAATATCTAAATGCCGTACCGTACCGACTGACGAACACCCCTAATGATGACAGTGACTCCTTGTTCGATTGCTATCGATTGTGTCTCACTCATTCGGTCACCATCACCAACAAGCAGGTGCCGCCATTCTTTAAATTAGACAAACATGGCTAGGGTCACTGATCTTAAGTCACTACAAGAAAAGGAGGGGGTTATTCTGTTAATTTGTGGCGTTTTTCAACTCCCACAAATTGAATTGCCGCGGTTTTGGAAAACGCCCAGTTATGCGCTCGTTTGATCATGAATAGATCACTTAGGTTTATTTTCAACGATTGTCCTATTAAGACTTGCTTATGTATATCGTCGAAATTCCAGTTCAATTCATGTTTGCTTTTGCTTGAGAAATGTTCTAATGTTCAAGCAAGTAGCTTCTTTACTGGTTATTTGAGTTTAAAGAACATATTGGACTTTTCTCATTCACTATCCAATTAACTTAGATTCACATGCAAGCTGATGTCTTAAAGTCAAATGCACCATAAATTGAGCTATACTAGTCTTCAATATGATTGAGAGCCACGAAATATATCCTCATAATCATAATTAGTGGAGTACTAGTGTATCTGTCCGGGCTTCGCGCGGTCTTAAAATGAATTAAGAAATAGTTAACTGGGAATTTCATAAATTTTTCTAATAGAAAATCAACTTATTTTTACGAAATCAAATAATTAAACGAAAAACTACATATTTGAGCATTCAAGACCATCTTATGAGTAATTGTCTGATGTATTTGAGCAATCCTCAGCTTTTTGCGACACTGATGCTTGCTTGGACGATTTACCCTTCTTAAGAAATGTTGTTAACGGAATAATATTTCAATCATATCTTACTATAGATGAGAACACCTTCAAATAACAAAAAGAAAATGATCAATATTTTCATCTAAAATATTAAGTTCTAGTTGTCATTGATACCCTATTTTAGAGTGCCAGCTTGAGAGAAAGATGATGTAAAAATGCATGATTGTGAGTTCTTTAGTCAATGGCGATTCAATTAAATTGTTTAAGAGTAGAATAATGCCTCATTTGAAGATGAAAACTTTATCCCTGTATCAGGCTCTTATTTGAGTCCATAACATAACCAAAAAAAAAATATAATTAAGTGAAAGTCATACATCATGTCAGTTACAATAAAAAGCAATGATAAATAAGCAAAACTTTTAAATATCTGCAGAATATAAGGCTCCAAACACAGAATGATGATGATGATGATGATAATTATAATTAAAATAATAAATTTAAAATATTATACAACGATCTTTCTTTTTAAATATTAAGAAGTTGCTACTAACAACATAAGGATGGATATTTTTCTGTAGCCATTATTTTTTTATGTGCTTAGCCCGTATAAGAGATTTTTATTTTATTATATTGTCTAACTTGGTTGTGAGATCTCACATGTCACGTACTTGCTAAGCATGATACATTTTTTTCTATATTAAGTATGACTGGAATGACCGATAATGTTTTGATACCGTTGCATTAAAAATATGCAATGTATTTAATAATAGAAAGAGAAATGACCAAACAATAAGGTAGAGAATTTATAAAGTTAATTTAAAATAAAATGAGTATAAAATTATGAAAATTAGAAGGTAGAGAAAGTTTTTTATTTGCTTTTCACTAACTCTAATATATATTAATGTTTTCTACGTGAAAACTCATGTATAGAGTTCATCAATTAACCAGTCATAAGTTTCTTAGGTGCCATTATTCTCTTGCAATTAGTTGATCATCTCAACAATTGGTATGAAAACACAATTATTGTCACAATAGAAATTGATAAAGGAAAATGTAAGGGCAGAAGCTACAACTGAAGGCGAACTTCGAAAAGTAGCAGTATTTGCTAAGAGCTATGATTTCTTTTGCCTACTAACAATTAACAAACGATACCTAAAAAGTTATAATTATCAAAATACTTGTAGAAAAATCAAACTTTATGAGGAAAGAATACTTCTTCAAAATGCTTGCTCCAGATCAATTGTATCATACCTGCAAAACAAAAAAACAGAAAATAATAAGCAATCCAATTCAACGAAGTAAATGAAACACAATACTCTAACTGAGTGTTTCTAGTTCTTTTTATAATTCAAAAAAGTTGTTATTGAGAATAGTTAATGCAATACCACTATATTTATAAATGTGTAGTTGTGGTTGAGTTAGTTAACTAGGCAGTTGAGTTAGTTGACTAAGTAGTTAGGTTGAGCTGTTTTAGTAGTTAGTAGACAGATATTATTTTCCCTTTTTCTTACACGTGTGTATATAATGCCTTGGACATGAGATAATCAAATTAAGTCTTCATTTCACAACTCCTCTTATTTTCCAGAATGTTCTATCTGTACTCTCCCTAGCTCATCAATGGAGGTTCATGGTTGATTGACCTCCAACTTTGACATGGTATTAGAGCACAGCTCTTAATATCCGATCTGATTTAGATTTACACTCATCTCATTTTTCTCTCACTCTTCTTTCTCACAATTTTTCTTCAACCGATCTGTAATCGCAGATCAGAATCTACTTTCGTTTCCTCCTTCGTTGATTCACGAAATCTCATTCAATTTCATCTTCAATTTCATCTACTCTACATCTCATGCCTGGAGACAACGAAACACAAGGTACTGCTGCAGCTTTGGATTCAACTAATCCACTATACATGTATCCGTCGGAGAGTGCCAGAACAGTTTTGGTACCAGTAGCATTTGACGGCACTGGATACAGATCCTGGAGGAGAGGTGTCCTTAGAGCCCTCTCTGTGAAGAACAAGGTCGGATTTATCACCGGAAAGTGTAAGAAACCTAATGTCGGAGAGGCGAG